AATGATAATGAATACAATGATATTTTGCAGTAAATAAAATTTATTCTCGTTGTAGGTATGAATAGATTTACAAAACATAAGGCACTTTCAAGTCTTAATACTGAATTACAAAGATGTACAATACAGTACATGCAGTAAGTCAGTACTAATCGACTAATTGTTTGTTTGTATTATAACTTAAGGATTAAAACTATGAAATGAATACTGTACTTAATAACAATCATTAATATTTGGTTTATAAGACTATAAAGTATCACATTCTGTAGAGATTATAGGAAATGAGTTAAAGGCATGTATTTTGGCACTAATTTAAAGTTTACAAAATTATACTATAATTTAGTGTCTTTAAAGCCATCGTCTTCTTCATCGGACGAGAGATTGCATTGAGTGTTGCCTTGGTTTGGATGGAGTGACAGACTGTCAGCCTTTGTACTATTCTCAGCCGTAAGGATACGATGGGCCGCTCTGTCCATCTCTGATAACAAGATTATAGCAAACATATTGAAGATATTGTGATGATCTGGATTAGTAGAGTACTATAAGTTCTAATAAGTTACTTACCTTCCTGTGTCATATTGAAAGCTTCCCTGAGCTCTATCTGTGTGGCTCTGACGAAGTCTGGATCACAATATTTGCCTAATCCTTGTTCATAGAGAACGCGTCCGACAAGACTTTCGGCACTTCCGACCACATCACTGAAGGCAGTGGTTGTGTGCAAAGTATCGGCCCATGGCTTGGGGTCTACACTACTCTTGCCGTGATATGAGGCCCGCAAAGGACTCTGTCGGTGCGGCATTCGGTGAGTGCCGAGTAGTGTTGGTTCGGCTATGAATCCGGCGACAGCCATAGCTGGCACGGGAGCTAATCTAAGAGAAGCAGCAATTGTATGGCTTAGGGCTCGTTTTCTCTGTGTTTTGGGACTCGTGTCAGTCCAGTCACTCGTCTCTACTTCAATACTAGGGAAAGCATAGTGAGCGCTGCCAACACTACCAGCTCTACACCTATTTGTCTCCACAAATGGCCACTCATTGCTATCTTGTTTGCGAAAACAGGGAATCTTTTTACGGAATGAAGCCGTGTTTAGTAATTTCCGGGGCGGAGGGGTTGGCGGGTGGGCACGACTTTCATCGTCGTCTACTGAACAACTGTTTCATAATAAGTAAAGTTAGCGCCGGTTAATAAACGACAGAATATTAGTATTATTATACATATTGTACTATTAATACATAGAGTATACTCTGTACACATAATGCAGTCTACAATACAAACCTAATGAAAGCAAGTGATGGACCACTAATTGTGTTAGTAATAGATTTTCCAAGAGATTCATTGGAAGCAATGTTAGTATAGAGGGCTGAATGGGTGTATTGATCGGCACACGGGTTAGACATTGGCCGCACATCTAGGCTCTCATGAATAGCTGACTGATTGGAAACAATTGGATCATTGCTTCGACTATTAGTTGAGTGGAACTCCACTCCATGCGATGTACTCGAGAGCGAAACGGTTGTCATTTGAATGCTGTTTGTTAGTGTTGAGAGGTTGGTGTTGGATAGAGTTAAGGTTACGGGTGACCACCTTTTACTATGGTTATCACAGTTATCATCTATTTGTTCAACTTTTATCCCGTTTACAATACTATGAAAAGTCGGTCAATTAATACTGATTCGTTAGTTAGTGTTCATTAATTCTTAATTATAGGTTGGGATTACATTTAGATTAATGGGCTTAATGTTTGCAATTTTGGTTCTATTTAATGAATACAAAATAATGAAAATGTATAACTGATAAGTTTCAGTGATAACTGTGAAAGTATATATATAATAAGAAATAAAGTAAACTAATCGTAAAGATATTAATATAATTAAATTAAAAACATAACAAGTATATGGTAAGATCTTATAGATGTTAGACATAAGGAATGGTGATTTATGACAAGTATAATACCTTTCACGAGATGTATGGTCGACACCATTGGATAATTGGTTTTGCCATTTGGTTGCAGAGAATGGACTGTCATTGATGTGCGACAGAGAAGTTTGTGATGTTTGAGAGATAGTGTTGAGTTCACGGGCAGCCACTATAGCAGTGATGGCATCTCTGATACCATAACGACTCGTTTGGTTGAAAGATCGGGTCCTTTGAGGCAAATGATTGCGCTTTCGCCTCACTGTAGACCAGACATTACCAAACAAGGAATGGTTTCTGCGGTGCATTGGTTCCCAATCGGGTCCGTTGTCAAAGTTGTCTTCATCGAGATTGCCAGAGATGGCTCGTCTGATCTCAGGGCCGAACTCATGCAAACTCCTAAGTCCTGCCTGAAGAGCGACCGTATTCTCCTCGTCATAACTCTGTTTCTGCTGCTCTTTTCTCTTCTTAAAGCGCCGGAAGTAGTCTTGAATGAGGAAAGTGGCGTAGAATTTGCCGACAGTCACCTCGTCATCAGAGGCCGGGGGCACCACTTGGTCCAGCAGTTTAGGATTGGTTCGCTTCCAAATCTTTCTGATGACAGCCCGTAGCTCTTCATTAGCAGTGTCTATATTGCCGTCAGTTTTGATCTTAAGGGCTGTTCTAACGATGGCAAAGAGGGTTGCGTTGAACATAACTGTTCCGTCGCTATTCAATGGCATATTCATTGAGACCAGTCTTTTGCAGGCGACCCGCTGTGGACATAGTTTTCCAAACCCTAACGGCGGAGATATCTTCCTGAGAAGAGTAACGACATCCAAGTGCTTGATCCGGCCCTTAGCGTCGGGATCATATTCAGACCACAGTCTCACAAATTCATCCAAATGGTGGGGTCCGAGTATAGACCAGTCTCGGGTCAAGTAATCAAAGTTATCCATAATTACAGCAACGAATAAATTAATGATCAGAAATGAGCACAAAATATAAAATGATATAAAGTATGGAATCGCGAAATTTGAACCACAGGTAGACTTGGGATCTTTTATACCATCATCTGATTTAGGATCACAAAACACCTCTTCATTGTTAGTACAGGCGAGCATAATGTCCTGCCAGGCCTCCCCTGTCGCAGATCTGAACAGTACTAGAATTGCCTGAAAAAAGGTCTGGAAATTGTTGTTTCTATGTATAGATGACTCGTTATTCAATGCAATTTTGCCGAACACTTGCATTCCTATGACCGCATATATGAAGAATAACATCAGTATCAGGAGTGCCACATAAGGCAGGGCCTAAACAATGCAATCAAAGCACATCATCATTTCAGTTTTTATTATGGATTACTGTAGTAGTATTCATAAATTGTATTAACTTAATATTATCATTTTTGATTATTTTATTAATTTACATAAGGCAGGGCCTAAACAATGCAATCAAAGCACATCATCATTTCAGTTTTTATTATGGATTACTGTAGTAGTATTCATAAATTGTATTAACTTAATATTATCATTTTTGATTATTTTATTAATTTAGTTTGAAAACCAAACCCTAATGTAATGTATAAGTATCGTAGAGTGACTCGCCTGAAAACTTTTGACAAATGTCCACAACAGGGTCCTAAAGACAATGTGATCAATGGTTGTAGTGATGAGTAGTAAAAGATAATTAAAGACAATGAAATACAGACAAACCTAATGCCTTCGCCGCGACTCAAGAGCTTAACCAAACGCATGACTCGGAATAGTCTAAGAAAATTCATGACAGAAGTAGGCCTCACACTAGCACTGCTAACTTTTTCGGACGATGATGTCGGCTGTAATCAACAAATATGTCATTTCATTCAATCATATAATTAATTGATTGGACCCACATTTAGTTGTTCGTAAACTATGTCTATAAGACTTCCCAATACAATGATACATAAGGCAGGGCCTAAACAATGCAATCAAAGCACATCATCATTTCAGTTTTTATTATGGATTACTGTAGTAGTATTCATAAATTGTATTAACTTAATATTATCATTTTTGATTATTTTATTAATTGAGTTTGAAAACCAAACCCTAATGTACTGTATAAGTATTGTAGAGAAAGGGTGACTCGCCTGAAAACTTTTGACAAATGTCCACAACAGGGTCCTAAAGACAATGTGATCAATGGTTGTAGTGATGAGTAGTAAAAGATAATTAATACAGACAAACCTAATGCCTTCGCCGCGACTCAAGAGCTTAACCAAACGCATGACTCGGAATAGTCTAAGAAAATTCATGACAGAAGTAGGCCTCACACTAGCACTGCTCACTTTTTCGGACGATGATGTCGGCTGTAATCAACAAATATGTCATTTCATTCAATCATATAATTAATTGATTGGACCCACATTTAGTTGTTCGTAAACTATGTCTATAAGACTTCCCAATACAATGAAAAAATCAAAGCAATTCCAGGGATCGCCAAAATAGTTCTGATTAAATGATACGTCAAATCATTATTGCAATGAATTAACCCATAAAGTAATGTAAAGTCGGTTTAATAGCATTTTGTATTCCATACCTTAAATCTAAAAGCCATCAGTTTTAACAGGAATTCCACTGTAAATAATGCGGTAAATATAATGTTGAGGACATTTAACACACGAGAATACTGTTCAGACTGCCCATCGTACTAATCCATTTAAATTAATCCAATTAATATTTTATCTAATTAAGGTTTGTCCTTATTTTTTCACGAATAAAACCACTAATTGTCAAATGTTCAGTACATAATATACTGTACATTCATAAATCATTATCTTAATTAAGCAAAGTAACCAAAACATTTATAAAAGTTATAATATATCTGTAATACAGTATATTGCGTGGAAATTGACACTCGTAAAATTATCAATAAAAATTTTAAGACTAGTATTATTAGCAAATAGTTTAATGAAAAATATTAATTAGGAATTATAGTTTAAATTAAACATTAAATCCATATTCAATAGCACCGCCCTTTCTTTGGATGGACACATGAATAAGGGATTTCATGTTTGTAATTTTAAAGGGTATTCAAATCCATTGTTAAGATTGTTAAATCCAAGTCAGAAAAGTATTAATAAAATATTAAAATCAATTAAGAATCAAATGAAATGCATATCATTAGAAAGCACATGAAATGAGCTTTTAAATGATATATTAAGTGGTAAATTCTGTATTATCCATAAGATGTAATTGTATCATAAGTAAAATGAGTGTCAATTTCCATGCAATATACTATATATTACTGTATGAGCTATATAAGTAACAGTAACGCTATAGATAAGTTAGCCTGCTATCATATCAATCCTCATGATATATGCAATCAATAACACATGAATTCACTTAAATTCCAAAATAAGTGATTTAATTCGTGAATATTAGTAAAGACCGGGAATACTTACTCTCATGGCTAATGTGATGGTATTTGTTAGAATTAATGCGAATATTAAGTACTCAAAGTATTGAGAGGTGACCAACCACCAAACCTTGTATTGAAAACGTGCTAAACATACGTTTCAAACATAGCTTAATGAGATCATTAAATTGTCATTAATATTAATTGTGATCATTCACATTTCTACAATTAATATCATTAATAAAATTTCTACCAAATAAATTGTAATTCTAAAGAAATAAAAACAAATGAAATTTATGTTTAATATTGTACTGTAGTTTGCAAACCATACTACAATATTTATTAAAAGATAAATCTAAATTTTAAGTTTTAAATTAAATTAAATAATAGTAAAAACACAAGAAATTACGAATGGAGTGGAAATTGGAGTGAAATTGAAAAGTTTGAAAAACAATGTGTAATACAGTAGAGTAATGGAAATACTTTTGTAACTTAGATATAAATTAAATGACTTGAGATGAGAGTGGAATCATTGATTTGAAATACATAGTACTGCACAATACTGTAAAACATTCAGTAAATATAATACAATACAATAAAAAGCAATTTATTTTCTCTTTTATAGTTTACGTTCGACTCTATTATTTGAAGAAATCTAAACTTTTATCCAATTCTGGACTATAATAATTAGATTATAAAGTGAAATTCTGTAAACTTTATTATTTGAGATTTTGATATAATATTAAATTGGTTGTCAGAGCAAAGATTTGGTAGAATAGAAATCATATGAAACGGTGTACACAGTATAGAGTAGAGTATATGTTAATATAATAAATTGCATTACCTTTAGGTATATATCTGCGGACAGGTCTGGCTTTGAGCGCGAATTCAATACAATTCCTCTGGTTTTTGTCGAGTTCACAGTTCTTGTACTCCTGTTCCCCTTCGTTCTGAAAGGTGACGATAACAAAACCCACGAATATGTTGACCATAAAGAATGCGATCACTATTATGTAGATTATATAGAAGATGGCCACAAACGGACGGAAGTTATGGATCGGACCGTAATCTTCGGCGTGAGAATCAATTGAGTGGTGAAGGAGACTATAAGTCATTCAAATGTAATTAACATCAAATTACTGGAGATAACATCAAAATGCAATACCCCGGCCAGCCTTCAAACGTGGATACAGTGCATAGCGTTAACATGGCTTCTCCTATATCATCGAAATTGAACGGATAGTTCTTCCATTCTCTTGCTTTGCGCTCAGGCTTATTGTCCACATAATCAATGAATTGTCCCCTAAATTAGTTTCAATCATCACATCCAACGCATGTATGCTTTGTATCAATCAATACAAACTCAATACTCACTGACACTCTTCTTCAGTTGCTTTAGATCTGTCGTTACAGAAATAAAATGTCCCCTAATTTCATACAATCAAACATTAATAACAATACAACTCTTCAATTCTATACATATTTTAATTTAACATAAGTCACACATTTTGTGTATTTATAAAACCTTTAAATCTAATCAAATGGTTTGCTACTTTACATTAAGCTAACTAGTAAAATACTGAACCTACATGTGTGCAAAATTTTTGTACTATTTTTTAAACATGATATAAATTAATATAAAATAAGCAGAGTGTAGGTTGTGGTAATACAAATGAGACTCAAAATAAATGTCAGATTGGTTATAACGTTGTATAATCAAAGTTTATAACGATAAGGCACTTGGAAGGGGATATCCTATTAGACTTACTGTATAAGGTACAGCAGGTAGTACTGTAACTAACTACAGTACAGCTTACAAATGCGTTATCCTTACAAACCACTTCACTGTCAAACAAATGCCAATCTCACTGCCATTTGCATAGTTGTGGTCTAAAGTGGTGTCAAATGTTTAATCTATTATTTCACAATTATAGTAGTGACTATTTTTAGTAGTAATAATCTCATTGCTATAATAAACTTATAAAACTTATATAATAAGGAATTTGAATCATATGTAACCATAAACCACACACTCCACTATATAAGACAATTAGATTTCATTTATATTTGTTTTTTAAATATTTAAATAATAACTATTATTTTCACTCAAATTATTTAAATTATATATTAGTTATAATTATTATAAAAGCAATGGTCAAATAGTTTAATAAAAATAAAGCAACAATTAGATAAATAAAAATTAAAGAAGAAATTAATTGCTATAATTATTATTTTCAAAGTCTCATCCATTATTAGTTTTCACTATTAAGAACTCTTTTTACAAATGTTCACAAATATGACAACAATTTCAAAAATTTAATTTTAAGGTTATATAAATAAGATATAAGGATAAAATATAAATAATATACAGTAATATACTTTTAAAATAATAATAATGGTTTTTGAATAAGTTTACTGTATTCATAGGTGTACAAAAAGTTCAAAATAGACAAGACTTTATAATAATGATAGCAAATTAAATATTAGATAGTATACACTGTACAGAATACAGTATACTGTAGTATGATAGTGTATTAAATATATTAAAGTAAACTAATATGACAGTGGAGGGTAGCAAATAGTGGTACGAGTGAGTGGTGTTAGTAGGTAGGTATACCTTGAAAAGCTGGACGGCAACGACTGCAAACATGAACTGTAGGAGGTATGTAACCATGAGAATCTGGCCGATCATCTTAATGGCCACGAGTACTGACTTAACCACGTGCTGTCATTGGAAATCCAGATAACGTGCGATCAATCATTATTTCCACACTTATTACTTATTTTTACAACTATTTCATTAGCTCACTGCCTTAATAAGATTATTATTATTATTATACTACTCTATTATAATACGAATCGTTAACATTTGCTTTATATAATAATACAATATATGTGATGAAAAGTCGTTTGTTTAATCGATTAGTTTGAGTTTAAAATCAATTGATTGGTTTAGTGTTTCATTCAACGCTTCAGACAATTGCTAATAAGAGGAAACAGAACATGCATTGCGTGTATAAAAGCCCATACAATACAAGACATACAAATAATATTTGAAGTGAAAATAATTGTGTGAAATATCATTAACTGTATTACGAAAGGCATAAAATTTTCATTATTTAGAGTTATGTGTAAATATTGATATCATGGGAATACTGATCAATGGATTGTATGACCGAAAATATTTATCAAAATAATAGCAAACAAGAGATGTTTTATGATATGTTTGCGTCTATAGTATACGGAATGGTATGTTCTTAACTTGCGAGGAATGTCTCTCAAAAGCAATTTATATAAACAAAAATATATATTACTCTATGTTTATGGTTAAGGTCTTCAAGAATATTCTGATGCATTCATTACCTTAAAGAGTTGACAACCGATGGCAGCAAACATGAAATTGAGGAGAAATGTCACCTATTATTGACCCAATCTTTCAGTTAGACTCCTTTCACTTTAATCATGAGTTGGCCTACTCTGGCCATACCTTACCAGCATTATGTTCCCGATAGTTTTAATTGCGACAATAACACACGACACCACGTGCTTGAATAGGACAGGGAGGAGAGGCAAAGCAAATGATCAGGCATTTCATTCTTATACACCACACGTTTGGTTTGAATCAAATCATCAAATATAAGACTAAGACAAACAAATCAAATACAACCTCAACCGCAACTCATCAACAGTGCTATACTTATGGTACAGTACTGTACATAAACTCAAGCCGTACTTATGTACAGTATTGTACTGTTATTTTTACATTATACACGACAGTGAACCCCTTTATACAGTACATACTGTAAGATGCAAAATGCAATTCATATCCACATTCATTGTTTTATTATAACAACTGCTTGTGGAAATTCACTTCAATTGTCAAAAACTGTTAAATAATACTAACATTACACTATAAATAAAGTTCATAAATATTCTGTAGATAATAATTTATAAATAATAAACAAAAAAGCCGTAAAAATTACAATTTAAATGCAAATCAGTTCATAATTTGTTTAGTTCCTTGAAACAAATTTATAAAATGTATTAAATGTAATTTTAAAGTTTAAATACATTTAAATATTCTTAGCAACTCAATTTGAAACTTGTAAAATTGAAAAGTTATACTTTATTATATTCTATATAACAACAAATAAAACTTTACCCTTCAGCACAAACCTCTATAGTACTGTACGTATATAAACCATTAAATATAATTTATATAGGAATCAACTCTATCTAGGAATCAACTCAAATTTACAATAATATTTGACTCTTTTATATATATAACATCCCTGTCTACTGTACCAGAAATAAAATCAAATTTATATAATATTCAGTTTTAAAAATCAATAAAATATTTTTATCACAAAAACTTAATATAAATGTGTGAACAAAATAAATGTTTTTGGAATAATCGACTACTTTATTAATATTACAATGAATATAATGGTGCTCTCAGCTATATTGTATGGCCTACATTTGGCACCAATCACCAATCTACTTAGCTATACTCTATTCTATAGTAATCATATAAATACATGTTTCTCTAAATATAAAATAGAAATTGTTTATTATAAACCTATCATAAATTCCTATATTTTATTCTTAAAATTATTTATCGAATATTTTACTTAATTTTTTATTTACAATTTAATTCGTAGTGAGATCAATTAATAAACCCTATAAAAACTAAACTACAGTACCAAAATATAAAATACTTGATTGCTTAAGAGTACACAGTAAGTTAGGATTGTATGTTGAAAACTACAGTATTACTGTTATAAGTTATTCTGTATTCACACCTTTAGGCAATTTATCATATCATGAGATAGAGGATTGTATTTTCATAAATAGTAAATATATTTGAATCGTAACTTTTATAATATTGAACTTCTTAATATGTTTGGCGGCATAATAACCACAGATCTAAATATAATCTAACTGAGAAATTATCTGAAAAAGTAATAATTACTAATTATTTGTTTTACTCAAATAACCTCAAAAAGTTGATCTTTCTAATTCATCAATTGTATTTAATTCAATTTGTATTTAAATAATTAATTTAAAACCTATATTTAAGTCAATATATTAACTTCTATTTTAAAATTACAAGCTCTACAGAAATCAAATTAATTTTTGCACAAAACTGTTTGTTTGCAAACTTAAATTAATTTTTATCACACAATGGAATAGTAATATAGTGTTTATTCAGTTTTTTTCTAGGATGGTTTCGGGTTTTATTGAATGACCCCAATATGATTACAATATTCTGTATTGTATGAACACTTATAAAATTTGATTTAAATTTGAGATGAAAAAAAGACAATAAAGTGATAAAAAATAAAAATTCATTTTAGAGTAAAATAAGATAAAAACAACGAAATGGTATATAATTGAAGAGAAAAAAAATATCGATAAAAATATAGTTGTTTTGTCTTACTTTGAGTCCTTTGGCGCGATTGATGGCTCGTAAAGGCCTTAAAACTCTCAAAACTCGTAATATTTTGATGACAGATATAGTGCCGTTGCTATCAATATATATTCATATGTTTTGTTTGAATTGAATACTAAATAAGTGACTAAATTCTTACGGAAATCCAAATGAGATGAGAGAACAACAAACGACTAATATATCCAAAAGATTAAAATAATTGCGACAAAAGGAGCCCTTATGTAGAATGACACCATAAGCTATGGTCTAGTATAACAATTCAACGTTAGTTCTTTACAATTATTTTATATAGTCTTAAATAAATAGTAGTGTACAGAATAATTTATAACTTATATCTAATACTTTGTTGTATTAAATAACAATTGTATTAACTTAATTTAAGGAAATATAAATATAAATTATTGATCGAATAAAGTATTAAAATATAGAATATGGAGCAGAGTATTGGATATGTACAACTTGTTTATATTATAGATTGTATAGTAACTCAATCATCAATACTTGAGAGTGCTAGTGGTTATTTTGTATTAAATATAGATTTTTGCTTACTTTTAATGAAATCTCAATTGTAAATATTGATGTGAAAAACCAATCGAAATAATTCAGAATCTATTGGATAAATAAAATTAAGACTATATTAACATAATTTTATAAGTTATTTTATAAACCATTAACAATTAAGAATTTGAATGACAATAACTAATTTTATAATGAATCAAAAGCGGAATTAAATATGAGACAATCTCATTCATTAACTATTATATAATTTACAAACAATTAAATGCAACCTATTATGTAAAAATTATTATAATATTTACGATAAATTCATTACTGCTAGAATTACAACATAAATAACTTAGTAACAAGCTACAATTACTATATTTCGATGTGATTTGGCGTCGAGAGGGTCCTCTGCGGCCAACATCCCACTACTGATAAGAATACAACAAAGAACTATATTTCCAAAATAGCTGTGCTCTTGAATTTGGTAACACATCACTCGAAACCTATCATATTTTGTTCATTAATTATTATCACATGAAATCATCTAAAATTGGATTATTTTCAAATTACTTATTTGTATGACTAAACACAAAGAATGAGCTGTGCTTTGGAATCGATGCAGTCTTTGTGGGAAAGTTTAATTCAGACATTCTTCGAGGTCGAGCACCGGTGTATTCAGTGGGCTCATCATTGTCGCCATTCTCATAGACATCATCATCCAATTGGTCCTCATCATCATTTTGATCACTGCTCTGATGGTCTAAACAAATAATTATGAAACACCTCGTACATTTTGATACAATGAGTTATTTAAATGGATACAAACCTTTTGATATGTTTGGCACATAATTTAGATCATCGTTTATTTCAATCACATTTAGTTTGATTTTCATAGGATCTTCATTATCTTTAAACTCTAAAGTCTGGTCGCCATCATTCATGTCTAACGGCTGTCCATTTTGTCCGTCGTCTCCTTCCTCCTCCTCTTCCTCTTTCTCAATGGCTGTCAGACTTTCAGCATCTGCTAAGTTGTCGACAGCAATGGCCAGAAAGACATTTAGGAGAATGTCTAACAATTGGATGAGGAGTTAATATTGAGTCAAAGATAACATATACTATTCATACAATTGCCGCAAATAAATAATATAATGAAGTAAACACAAGCAAGTATTCCAGGTTTACTGACACCCCCGTAAGCATTGATACCATCATACATGACTTCATTCCAGTCCTCGCCGGTCAGAATCTATGAAATGTGAGTATCTTTCAAATATAATAGCAATTGTTAAGATGTGATTGTGAACAGACCTGGAATACAGTAAGTAATGATTGCCAGAAAGTGTCAAAATTATGTCGCGGTTTCTCTTTCTTTTTGAAAGAGAACTTTCCGCCGAAGACCTGCATTCCCAGCAGTGAGAAGATTACGATAAAAAGAAACAACAGTAACAACAGGGAAGCGATGGCTCGCATTGAATTGATGAGCGATGCGACCAAATTCCTCAGTGATGTCCAATATTTGGTTACTTTGAATATTCTTAAGAGTCGGACACATCTTAAGACAGACACTCCGAGGGGAGGCATCACATCAGTTGAGGTCAATACGACTTCTAATATAGAGCTGATGACAACAAAACAATCAAATCGGTTGAATAGAGAGACAAAATATCCCTGAAAGCCGAGGCTATACATCTTGAGCAGCATTTCCAATAGGAATAGTATAACAAATATCATGTTTGCTATTTCCTGAAACTCATCCAACCATTCCTTTTGCTGGTAATGCTCTGATGCCAGCGTAAGAGTGTTGAGGAAAACCAATATAATGACTGTCCAGTAAAGGGCCTGAGATTTACATATCTTGCGACACACTCTTCGTAACCGTCGATTCAATCGACCGAATCGTTTCTTCTGATTTTGCCAAAGAGAAGGCGTTTTATTGGAGTCACCGTTCGTTTGTTCGCTCTCCAGCTTATCCTCTTCATTGTCGGCACCCATTCTCTGAAGCGATCCCTCTTTGTCATCGGGTTCTATATCCTCTGCCTGAGTGATCCAATCGAGGTATCCTCTCAGGTCTTCCTCGATCTGCTGCTTTTCCCTCAACTTTTGAAAGTCTCCGCGATTTTTGGCCTTTTCTCTCTCCTTCGAGAACTCTCCGCTAAGAACTCCCAAAACCAGATTCATGACGAAGAATGAGCCCAATATGATGAGACTAATGAAGTAAATCCACGGCCACTGGTTGCCCACGGAATCATTGATGTTGTAGAGCACGTTAGTCCAGCCCTCGTTTGTCACGCATTGGAATACAGTAAGCATTGCTAAACCGAAATTATCAAAGTTGGTAATCCCTGTGTTGGGGCCCTCCCAGTACTCCCTGCACTCATATGGATATTCACAAGTATATTCGCCACCACATGGAGTTGGTTCTGGACTTATCTCACCTTTCAAAATATTTACAAATTAATTGCAACATAATATTTCTTTATATTGTTGTACAGATATACTGAATACAAATATACCGGTGATGTTATGAAAGCATGTCATATGCATTCTGCCGACAAACAACTCTAAGCCGATGATGGCATAGATGACGATCACAAATATGACAAGTAATGCGATGTGCAGTAAAGGCACCATTGCTTTGATTATGGAATTCAGTACGACCTGAAGGCTGGGCACTCCCGACACTAGTCTTAGAGGCCGTAACACACGAAATGCTCGCAAAGCCTTGACATCAATGCCTTCGGTAAAGAGAGAGGCCAGGAATGTGCTGACCAGACCTATCACTACTATTATGAAGTCCAACAGATTCCATGCACTTCTCAAGTAAGCGCCCGAATGCATGAACAGACCGTAAGCTATGATCTTCATAAAGCACTCCACTGTGAACACCACCAGAAAGAAATACTCCACTTTTTCCTACAAATATACATTCAATCCATTCAATCACTCCATTCACACTAATATTCATAATCATCACTTCTATCATCATTAATGCATAGTACGGTATGTGCTTTTAATAGTTCACAGTCCTATTACAGCGTACCTTGTTATATTTATTAGTGTTACTACTATTGTACTATCTTGTAATATTATGTTTTTAATTTAGTTTTAGATAAATCATAATTATTGAATAACACTAACTTTTATTTGCTCATCAATTTTTAATATTTTTACTTTTTTATATAATTAAATTAAATTCTTTAAATATTTTAAATATTAGTGAATTTTACTGTATATGTGCTTAACTATTATGGAATGTTTTGTGAGTGTTGTTGCACTCAATGAGTTTTGAATGTACTCTTAGTAGAGTTAAAAGCATTTATTAAATAGAATTTAGTATATAAGAGGAGAGAGAGAGAGAGAGAGAAAGAGTGGAATATACAGAGTATTATATTATCAATAAGTTCACTGTCAATATGTAATATATAAGTGATTTCTTTGGTATAATTCATAATAGAGAGAGAGAGAGAGAGAGAGAAAGAGAGAGAGAGAGAGAGAGCAGTGAAATGCATTTACATTATATAATTTGCGAGAAGTGAATAGCGCGTCGTTATATAGGCTTTACATTACTCACCAGAATTAGGTTTGTGTTGTTTGTGTCTAAATATGGATAAGGAGTATAAACGCCGAGTGCTATACAGTTGAGACATATGGTCACTAATATAAGCCATTCAAAGGGTTTCCATTCGACGATATCAATGCATAATTTTCGGATCGGATTCTTAAGTGTTAAGCAATAGAGGGCCCGTTCGGGCTTTTCCGGCACTTTGGGTCCGCATTTGCGAACAACTCGTTTCTTCTCTTGTGTTTGCATTTATGGACAGTTAGTCACATGAAAATGACATTAATTATGAATTATACCAAAGAAATCACTTATATATTACATATTGACAGTGAACTTATTGATAATATAATACTCTGTATATTCCACTCTTTCATCTCTTAAAACATAAAACATTGTCATAACTACTGAACAAAGTGTTGGACACAATGTTTTCAAATTAATAAAGATTCATATAATGGCATTCAATACACTTCTTAGTAGTTAATCGGTTTTCCGTTATTTTTAGTACTGTTTAGGCATGAGTTAAGCGCACATCAGAGACAGAATACGAGAGAAGAGAAGAGGGAGAAGAGAGCAAAGAGAGAGCACATCCTTTAAAGTATTGCAAACTTTGCCACAGAATCACAAGAATTGTATGAATGGTTTGCTTTGACCCAAAAAACATCTGAAATTTCACATGAATTGCATTGAGAGCTGAGAGCATGACTGATGTGACTCTCAATCTTTTGACTTTCATCTGCTCTACAATTCTTGTCATCTCTTATATCTAACTTGTGATCAATTTTGCAATCGTTAAGACCTCTATGTTCTCGATATATGACTAAAACATAAATGACTATCAAATCATTATTTGTCTATTAATCGTATCTAATGTTATAAATGAAACAATAGTGTAATAGTGTAATAGTGACACAATTATTGTTTTCGTTCGGTACAGTACTGCTGTCAACACAAATGCGATTACTTTGTACAGTATATTGAGCAGTGTATATTATACAGAATTTGTTAATTTACATTAGCTTGATGCTGACATTTATTCTTTAAAATACTAGTCTATTCATAAAATTATTCTGTAGTGTCTATCAATACAATAACACTATTTCTAATTTATATTTATAAGATGAGTCCCAAAAAAGTGCGCTAGGTTTTTTGCTCACATTTCTGTTTCTTGCGATCAATCAATTTTGTAAAAAGGGATTTTAAACTTTCATTTAATTGTGTTCTTATGACATACTAACCACCCTGGTGACTCAAGCATTGCAATAAAAATTTTGGACCAACGCGAATGTCATAGTGACCGGTCACAGCATAGTAGCATTGTCAAATCTAAAATATGCAATTAAAGCCGAAAGTTTAAGCTTTCATTTAAGCTATAAATCACATTTTAAACAATAGTTTACACATTTTAACCCATTATATAAGAATTAAAATGTAGTTTTTTATTAAAATATGAATTCTACGAGAACCAAATTTCCTACAAATATGATCCATAATCCGTTTGAAAGCTTATGACACCTACTTCAATTTTACAATTGAACATTTTTGCCTAGCTCCTATTAGTAACGAGTAATTTAAGTTTAAATTATTTACCATTGATTTTTACATTGGATTCAATGATTTTCAAAAGATTACTGTTTCAAAACTAGTAAAAGTAAATTAATTAGTCTTATTAATACAGTAGTACTGTCTAATAATTAAAATAACTGTCTAGTATATTATTTTCTTAAATACAACATAAGTTATGTTACATAACATTTAAGTAAATATGAACTTACAAATTGTCAAAAGTCAGATACTGTATATTTTTATAATACTGTATTATATAATGAATCGTAATTTAGTAGAAACTATATTTTATTAATATTATTATTAATCATAATTTATAAGATTATGGTAACTAAATAAAGTTAATAATAAATAAATTATACAATTTAATGACTTAAAAATTAATGAGTTTCATTTTACATGATATGTTGGATTGAATTTAAAACTTTGAGAAATAGTGAAATATTCTAATTTTAAAGGGAATATTGAAAACTGTACCAATACTGTACAGTATATAGTAACTACCTGTATTAACTGTAATATAAATTTATTATACAGTAAAATATATTCTTCTTTTAGTTTAGTTAACATTTGTGACAACATATTAATCGATTTATAAATCCTATGAAACAAAACATAAATACGTGACTTAATTAACTAAGTGTATGTTGTTTTTATTAGCAACTTTTAATTTATTTGATTACTCTCCCAATTACTATAAATTCTGTATTCAATGTACAGTAAACTAAATTTACTAATATACTGTACTTACAGTACTATACACTGTATAATTTACAGTACTTTAAGTGCGGTTTTAGTGCACAATCTAAATAAATGTTTTCACATAACAAAACTGAAACTTAAATTTATAAAATTCTCTAAAAATATTTATAAATTTAATAATAATTTAATAAATGCATTGAATATTATTTGATATTTAAATTTTTAAAAATTCTTTATTTAAAAAAATTGCAGTACATTAGAATAATTACTCATAATATTACATTTTTAGTGTAATTTATTAAAAATACATACCTTAATCATTTATTATAATTACATACCAATATCAGAATTAGACTTATATTAATAATAAAATCAGCTATACAAGTATAATCTGGATTACTAGATGTAAATCTAATTATGTAAAGAATGTGATTCTAAAGTAAACGTGAACTAATTATTATACCTTCATTGAGTTTATATTTTAAAATTTTTAAAAATATATTGTAATAGCAAATTATTACACTTTTAAATAAAATGCTGGCATATTTTAACTTTAATTGAATTTTATGTAAAATTCATTTGGATGTGCAAATCATGCGTAAAATTACCGAAAATTACGCTCCAATATGAAATTAACGTTATGTCATAATATATTTTGCCATGATAACTTCCAATTTCAAACCATTTGGGGAATTTTTAAATTCCAATTCTATACTATATAGTATAGTATTTTAAATTTATACTATAGAATCTATAGTATAGATCATTGAGTTCCAAAAGTTAAAATCACCTAAAAATAGGGATGATAAACTAATAGCCTAATCACCTATACTTGATAAACTTATAAATATTTAAGAGCCTTAGTTATTTATGTCATAATAAACTTAATTGGTATGAAAGTGCATGTCTAGGTAAAAATCTGATTACACCAAGTATGATATTCACCGAACATATTCAAGGTAATCCATGCATATGCACTGGTATGCACTATATAATTGTATGCTTATTTATTATACATACAGTATATATCATTGAGTTCCAAAAGTTAAAATCACCTAAAAATAGGGATGATAAACTAATAGCCTAATCACCTATACTTGATAAACTTATAAATATTTAAGAGCCTTAGTTATTTATGTCATAATAAACTTAATAGACATTTAAAATTACTAATACATTAATGTTCAAACAATGTTTAGATTCAATAATTATTAATCGTAAAAGAACACCTTTAAAACTACAATCATTTGTATAAAATAAGTTAAACTTGATTATATGCTCATTTTATATGATTAACAAACTTTTAATATTTTTCATCTGTTATATTTGTAATGTTTATGACTAAAACTTATTAAGATATAAAT